TATATTTTTATGATACAAATGAACAATTGGAAAATAGACAGAATTACATGTCTAATTTAAATCAAGATGTGTTAAAAACATTACAAGATATGCTACATGAAAATAATGAACACATCAAGGTTTTGAAAACTATTTATGAGCGTTTAAAAAATAATCAGATATCACAAGATATTCGTGTAAAACTAATGGCAAAACATAATAGAGATCCAAAAACATACAATCTACCATCTAAGGACTTTCCAGACATTGCTGTGTTAATGCCAGATGAACCAATCGACCAGAGAGATATTTTAATCGAATATAGAAATGACAAACCTAAACGTATGAGTCAAAATAATAAGTTATATGATCCATTGGCTTATCCACTAATGTATCCTTATGGTGAATATGGTTGGAGCCTTGAATTGAAAGAAAAAAATGACAAATATACTATAATGAATTATTACAAATATATTTTATATTATAGAGAAGCACAAAGTACAGCACATTTATTTAGTAGATTGTTTTTACAATATGTTGTTGATGTTTATGTAAAAATTGAACAAGATAGATTAAATTATCTAAGGTTTAATCAATCAAAACTAAGAACAGAACTATATAATGGCCTAATGGATTCTATAGGGCAAGGAATTAAACCAAATGATATTGGTAAAAATATTATTCTCCCAAGTAGTTTCACTGGATCACCAAGATACATGAACGAAAAGTATAGGGATGCTATGGCCATAATTGCTCACCATGGAAAACCAACTTTATTTATAACTTTTACAATGAATCCTAATCACAAAGAAGTTGTAGAAAATTTATTGCCAGGACAGTGCCCAGGTGACAGACCTGATATTGTAAACAGAGTTTTTAAAATGTTACTTGACAAATTAATCAAAGATATCAAAGAGAAGAAAATTTTTGGTAAAGTAATAGCAATAATTTACAGAATTGAATTTCAAAAACGTGGTTTACCTCACGCACACATATTGATAATATTGGCAGATGAAGACAAACCAAAGACAATTGAAGATATTGATAATTTAATCTCAGCTGAAATCCCAGACAAAGAATTATATCCAGAAGCTTATGAAACAGTACTGAAATGCCAAATTCATGGCCCATGTGGTAAAATTAATCCAAATTCACCATGTATGGTTGAGTGTGAAGGACAACTTGATAAAATCTGCTCAAAAAAATTTCCAAAAAAATTCAATAATATTACAAAAATTATAGATGGATATCCAGAGTACAAACGAAGAGATAATCGAGATCAAAATATTAAGAATGGAAAACATAATGTGGATAATAGTATGGTTGTGCCATACAATTTGTATTTAACAACAAAATACAATTGTCATATTAATGTAGAGGGATGCCAATCAGTCAAAGCAGTTAAATATATAACAAAATATATTCATAAAGGAAATGACGCAGGTGTTGTAGAAATTTCAAATGATGAAATAAAAACATTTCAATCTATTAGATATGTATCTTCTTCAGAAGCAATATGGAGAATATTTGGTTACGATTTAAGTCATATTAAACCTAATGTATATCGATTAGCAATACACCTTGATGGTGAACAAAATGTAACATTTAAAGATAATGGACAAGGAATTTCAATCTTAAATCGACACACTAATTTCACAAAATGGATGGAATATAACAAAAATAATTTAGATGGAAGGCATTTAACATTTCCTCAATTTTCAAAATATTTTTGGTATGATCTAAAGACTAGAAGTTGGAAAAAAAGAAAAAGAGATTCTGAAGAAACTATTGGTCGAATGTATTCAGTTAATCCAAATGAACAAGAGAGGTTTTATTTAAGATTATTATTAAATTATAATAAAGGTGCGACATGTTATAACGATATAAAAACAGTAAATAATACATTATATCCAACGTTTCAAGAAGCTGCAATTGCGTTTGGATTACTTGAATCAGATGATATATGGGATCAGACACTAACAGATGCTGAAACATTTAAAAATCCTAAACAGTTAAGAGAATGTTTTGCATTTATTTTGATTTATTCGAATCCATCATATCCAATGAAATTATGGGACAAGTTTGAGGATTATCTGACAGAAGATTTTCAAAAAGAGTATTTAATCAATTCGTTATCAACACAATTGATACACCCAGAAGCAATCAATAAAGCTTTAATCGAAATTGAAGAAATATTAAATCAGCAAAATATGTCACTATCAAATCAATTTAAGACCTCAATGCCTCAAATAAATTTAGAATTAATAACAAATAAAAATATTGAATCTAAAATTATTACAGATCAAAAACTTAATAATACTGAATTAAAATCAATAAACAATACAATTGACGAAATAATTAAACAATTAAATAATGATCAAAAACAAATATTTAATGATGTAATACAATCAATTAATAGAGAAACAAATAATTTGTATTTTGTTGACGCTCCAGGCGGAACAGGAAAAACTTTTTTGTTTAATTGTATAGCAGATTATTTGAGAAGTAAAGGAGATATTGTTTTATGTGTTTCAACATCTGAAATTTCTGCAATATTATTAAATAAAGGAATTACATCTCATTCAAGATTCAAAATACCAATAGTATTAAACGAGACTTCTCGATGTTCTATTTCTTGCCAAACTCAACAAGCAGAGTTAATCAGAATTTGCAAATTAATAATATGGGACGAGGCGCCGTTGATGGGTAAATTAGTATATGAATGTGTTGATAGAACATTTAGAGATATTATGAATAAACCAAATTTAACATTTGGAGGAAAACCAATAGTATTTGGTGGCGATTTTAGACAAATCCTTCCAGTTGTTCCAAAAGGAATGAGATTTGATATAGTTAATAGCTGTATTAATAGATCGTACTTATGGAATCAAATCAAAATTTGCCATTTAAAAATTAACGAAAGATTAAACCAAATCAAAACCACCGTAAACGAGTTTAAAACCTTTTCAGAATACTTACTTCGTATTGGTGAAGGTACTGAACGATATGTCCAACCACCTGATTTCATTGAACTACCGGAAACTATTTGTGATAATGTAACAAATTTCGATAATTTTTTAAATAGTTTAATTCAAAATAATACTCTTAGTGAGTGGACAATATTAGCCACAAAAAATGATATTGTTGATGACATCAATAATAAAATAATGTCAAAAATATCTGGAGAAACAAAAACATATTATAGTTATGATACTATTGCTGAAACAGAAGATCAAAATAATTATGATATAGAATTTTTAAATTCTCTTAACTTAAGTGGAATACCACCACATAAATTAATATTGAAAATTGGTATTCCAGTAATGCTAATGAGAAATATATGCCCTTCGAAAGGATTGTGCAACGGTACACAATTAAGAATATTATCACTTAAGAGAAACTTAATTGAAGCTGAAATTACCAAAGGCTCTTATAAAGGTCAAAAGGTTTTTATCCCTAGAATTGTATTAACAAAACTTGATGAAACTATGCCATTTACATTAAAACGACGACAATTTCCAATTAGGCCATGTTTTGCGATGACTATCAATAAAAGTCAAGGTCAGACCTTAACTAAAGTTGCAATTTATCTTGAGAAAGATGTTTTTAGTCACGGTCAATTATATGTTGCTCTATCACGTGTTACATCTAAACAATCATTGAAAATATTTACTAAGAAAATTGGTAACAAATATTATGCTAAAAATGTAGTATACCAAGAAGTCTTTAACAATGAAATGTCTATTCAAAATATAAAACATAATTTAGATGAACCAATAAATAACGAAATACTTTCCCCTGTTAAAAAGCTTAAAATTTCACAACATGAATCGGATTTAGAAACTCAAATAAATACTGAACCCACATTAACTAATTTAGCAAATCAGAGTATATATATTTTAAACAATATTAAGAAATTATTATACATGACTAACTTTGGAGATCTATTAGACCAATTTTTAAATGAACATGAACATATTATCAATGATATTAACGAACTATTGCAAAATAAAGTACCGGTAACTGTTAGTGAATGTATTAATACAACACCATTACCAGGATATAGAAATGTTGTTCCAAATTGTATGAGAAATTCATTTAAAGAATATGATGTTCTAGGAGATGGTTCATGTTTTTATTATTGCGTATCATTAGCTTTATTCGGGACAATAGATTACTTTAATATTATACGTCTTTCAACTGTTGTTGCAATGATAAATTATGCTGAATACGTTGATACTTTTTCTAATATGTATGGTTCCGATATTTTACAGGAATTAAAAAACACTTCATCAATAGGAGGGTGGGCATATAATTCATCTATTTTAGCAACATCTATTGCTATAAACAAACCAATTAACACTTTTATTAATGGCAACTTACAACATAGAAAATTGTATTCACCATCACTGATTACTGAACAGTTTCCCCCAATATTTGTAGCTCATGTGCCTGTAAATCCATTAGGAACTGATCCTAATCATTATCACGCATTAATACCAATTGGCTCAAATTATATTCTACCAGATATTGATACGCGTGATTTAAGGTTTGATTTTCAAACCATGGACCCAATATATCCTATTAATTAACTATAATTGACAGTTTATAAGTAAAATGGTGGTCAATTAACGAGCTATATTTTCCTAGTACATTACTAATATACAAAATTTATTAATAAATACTACATTTATAATTGCGGTGATTCTCTTGTATCAGAGATGATACAGTACTTTAAATAAATTACGCAAAAACTTAAAATAGGTTAGTTTACCTATAGGATTAGAATTGCCATAGACTTACCATTCATCATATAGATTTAAACTTATCAATAAACATAGCAATTGTATTAAATTTTGGCCACATTCTAAGTTTGAATATTACATGTTAGAGATCTCCTTAGATTAAATAAAAATCTCGTAAAGTATTTATACAACAATCAAATAATATTTTTAATTAATTCAAAAGAAAAGCAGAAAAAGTTGTTTAAAAAACAAACACACTTTTGCACATTACTAATGTAAATATTATATTTAATTTTTGGGTTTAATTATAGCAAATGGTATCGTATACTGAACTACTGGTCGGACCGTAATATCTCGGGTCCGAAACCCATACCATATTTCGGCAATATTTTAAGCCCTATTTTAAAAGGCAAAGAATGTGTTGAGACCGAGTGGTATCGGACTTACGGCCAACTCTACGGGTAAATATTTAAGATTTGTATAGTATTTTTAAAGTTGTAAAACATTATGGTCGCAAAAATTGTATAGAGTGTATGAGTTTGGAAAACCCGGTCTACGGGTGGCGGACCCGGTGCTCATCAAACAGATTCTGGTGAAAGAGTTTCACAAATTCCGTAACCGTAAGGAAGGCGGCGACAGAATTGCAGTTTTTAAAAACACACTCATCAGAGCCACTGGCGATGACTGGAAACGGATCCGAGCCATAGCCAGTCCCGCATTCACTTCGGCTAAACTCAAACACATGTATCCACTCATCAACGAGTGTTGCCGTGACTTCTTGGCCGCACTTCACACAGACGTGTCCACCGGTCGACGGGAAGTAGAGTTAAAGCAATTGATGGGCGCTTTTACTATGGATGTGATCGCCAGCACAGCGTTTGCCACCAAAACTAACCCCTATTCAAACCCAAACAATCCGTTTACCTCTAACTGCAAAGCTCTCTTTCATGAGCGACCGTTTATGATCTTCCTGTCACTTATATTACCGACATTTATCACAAATAAATACTTCTGGAAAGTCATGGTAAAGGATCCGGATCTTAATTCCAAGTTTTTTATCGACATTTCCCGTGATTTAATATATGAGCGCAAAAAGTCAGGCAAAAAATATAATGATTTTTTGCAATTACTTATGGATGTGGAGAGAGTGGACAATAACACGACGACTACGGGTGCGGACTCTGTGGCCAGCGATGCACTGGAAGGACATCACGTGAACGAAGGCGTCGACGAACTGATGGCAGAGAAACAGGCGTTGAGTGGAGTCGTGGAGAAGAAGTTAA